TACGATACTGACCAACTCTGATCGTTGGCCATTGATGATAGCGTAATAACTTCGTATAGCATACATTATACGAAGTTATACTTATGGCAAAGTCAGCTGCGGCACAGATGGGACGAGAAGGAGAAGGATTGCTTCGCAAATATTTGCGACGCTCAGTTCAAATATTCTCACGAATATCTGGGAAATACTCCCAGGTTAGAGCACGCATTATGTTTCCCTTGATATTTATTTGTTTCATCACTCGCAATATATCCTCGTTTTGCTCTCAGGTTGGTCATAACGCCGCTAACGGATAGGTGCTACATAACTTTAACGCAATCTCTGCATCTCATCATGGGCGGTGGTCCAGCTGGACCAGCTGGGACCGGAAAAACCGAGACCACGAAAGATCTCGGTAGAGCTCTCGGTATAATGGTGTACGTGTTCAATTGTTCCGAACAGATGGACTACAAGTCTTGCGGTAACATATACAAGGGTCTGGCGCAGACTGGCGCGTGGGGTTGCTTCGACGAATTCAATAGGATTACCGTAGAGGTGCTTTCGGTAGTCGCCGTGCAAGTAAATCAATCCAAGACGCCATCAGAGATAAAAAAGAAAAGTTCAACTTCATGGGCGAGATGATAGCTCTCGAACCGACTGTTGGCATATTCATTACCATGAATCCCGGTTACGCCGGCCGCACGGAATTACCGGAGAATCTGAAGGCGCTTTTCCGTCCCTGCGCCATGGTAGTGCCCGATTTCGAATTGATATGTGAGATAATGTTAGTGGCGGAAGGATTTCAGGATGCGAGGGTACTCGCGAGAAAGTTTATTACACTCTACACGTTATGTAAAGAGTTGTTATCCAAACAGGATCACTATGATTGGGGTTTAAGAGCGATCAAGTCAGTCTTAGTAGTTGCTGGTAGCTTAAAAAGGGGTGACCCAGAAAGGCCAGAAGAACAAGTTCTAATGAGAGCTCTAAGAGATTTCAATATTCCTAAAGTGGTGTCGGATGATCTGCCAGTTTTTATGGGTCTGATAGCGGATCTATTTCCAGCATTGGACGTTCCTAGAAAGAGAGATGTTGAATTCGAAAAAATGGTTAAACAAGCGGCTGCCGATCTAAGTCTACAACCGGAAGACGGCTTCATTCTTAAGGTCGTACAGCTCGAGGAACTTTTAGAAGTAAGGCACTCCGTCTTTATTGTAGGTACAGCTGGTTCCGGAAAGACCCAAGTTTGGAAAACGCTGTTCAAGACTTATCATAATATGAAGAGAAAGCCGGTGTACAACGATCTCAATCCCAAAGCTGTGACCAATGACGAGCTCTTCGGCATTATCAATCCGGCGACGCGAGAGTGGAAAGACGGTCTGTTCTCAGTAATAATGAGAGAGCAGGCAAATTTAGGCGGTGAAAATCCAAAGTGGATCGTTCTGGACGGCGACATTGATCCGATGTGGATCGAATCGTTAAACACTGTTATGGACGATAATAAGGTTCTAACATTGGCTAGCAACGAACGGATTGCTCTTACGCCGGCGATGAGGTTACTCTTCGAGATCTCGAATTTGAGAACCGCCACACCCGCCACAGTTTCACGCGCTGGTATTCTGTACATAAACCCGCAGGATTTGGGATGGAATCCGTACGTGACCAGCTGGGTCGAGAAGCGATCGTTGCAGAGTGAGAAGTCGAATCTGGTCATGCTTTTCGACAAATACATTCCCACTTGTCTCGAAACTTTACGAACAAGATTTAAAAAGATAACACCTATAGCCGATATGGCGCACGTCGAAATGTTGTGTCATCTTCTCCATTGTCTTTTAAGACCGGAGTTGACGACTGGCGACTTTCACAAAGAGCATTATGAACTTTATTTCGTGTTCGCTGCCGTCTGGGCATTCGGTTCCGCCATGTTTCAAGATCAAACTGTGGATTATCGAGTAGAATTCACTAAATGGTGGATTAATGAGTTCAAGCAAGTGAAATTCCCCTCGCAAGGCACAGTTTTCGATTATTACATCGACAATGAGACAAAGAGTTTCGTCCCCTGGACGGAACGTCTCCCAAAATTTGAATTGGATCCGGAAATACCATTGCAAGCTGTTTTAGTCTATACATCGGAATCTATTAGAATAAAATACTTTCTTGATCTGTTAATGCCGGAAAGGCATCCGATAATGTTAGTCGGTACAGCTGGTTGTGGCAAGACTGTCCTGGTCGCTGAGAAACTACTTCAACTTCCTGAGAATTACGCGGTGTCCAACGTACCGTTTAATTTCTACACCTCGTCCGAAATGTTGCAGAAGATCTTAGAAAAATCACTAGAAAAGAAAGCTGGCAGAAATTATGGTCCACCGGGAAATAAAACTTTGGTATATTTCATCGATGATATGAACATGCCGGAAGTGGACGCGTACGGCACCGTCCAGCCTCATACATTGATCAGGCAGCATTTAGATTACGGTCATTGGTACGATCGAACTAAATTAACTCTAAAAGATATTCACAATTGTCAATATGTCAGCTGTATGAATCCGACCGCTGGGTCGTTTACAATTAACCCGAGGTTGCAAAGGCATTTTGCTGTATTTGCCGTTAGCTTTCCGAATGTGGATTCCTTGACGACAATATACGCCTCTATTTTGTCGCAGCATCTTGCAAATATAGAACACAGGTATTGAAATGAATAATAAAATTCTACATATTATATATATATATATATATATATATATATATATATATA